AGGTCCATCCTACCCGTGCCTTCTCTCCCCAGGACCAAGGGTTGGGCCTGTGTCTGTCAGTTTCATAATAAAGGACGCGCTTTTGTCCAGCCAGCCTTGGGCCTCTCCCCAGGGCCATCCAGGTCTGGGCTGTGTCATGAGAGTGAAGTCACACTATAGACAGTGAGCATCTGTGAGAGAAACACAGGTGACAGCTCATGGTGAGGGAGGGCCCATTAGACCCTGCCTCTGGGACATCAGAGGAAACCCTGCCAAGAGCTGGGCCAGCAGAGAGAGGAGTCCTCCTTCTTGGCTCCTGCATCTTCATCCTCCCAATCCTCAGCTCTGTCTCTCTTCCCTGTGTGCGGTTCAGTAAGACCCGCCACTTTTGTAGGTCGTCTGGGTGTGTGCATTGTTGCCAGGTGCAACACTTACTGTGAGCAGAACACCGTGCTGGGTGTGGGCAGGTTACAAAAGCACAAGACAGTGTCTGTCCTCCAGGGGCTTCCAGTCTATCTGGTCACCCAGGACATTCAGCTGAAAGTAAACAGACAGAACACATAGGTAATGTGACAAATGTATAATGAGCACGGGTGAGAGTGAGGAAAGCAGCCTGCAGGGAAGGATTCCCATCTTGGGTGCTAAGAGACAAGACCTGAGTGTGGGCTGGTGCTCTCCAGGAACTGAGTGAGAACAGCACCCCAGCACACCTCCTGTTAAACCACAAACCACCACTAAACACACATGAAAGGCACACACACACATGTACGTGGAACATAGAAACAAAGCTCTAAGAACCTGGTTAACAAGATTTAGAAAGGGATGAAACTTGACTTGTCTCTCTTCAAGGCAGAAACTCCCTTTCAGAGAAAGATTGGAAAACAGCGTTAATGAGCCATTATTAACACAAGGACAGAAAAGAAATCACGGCTTCAAGAAAGTAACCTGCTTGTGTGCCAAAGCAGTAACAAGAACAAAACCAACAGGGGCATGATGAGTGGGTGGTGAGGAGGGGGTGGCGGGCCAGGCCTGAGTCCACCACCTCCTCCTGACATAGGTGTAAATTCTCATGTCCTTGGATTAGGCAGTAGTTTCTTAGATGTGATACAACAAAAGAAAATACAGATGAAGTGGACTATTAAAATTGAAAAATTTTGTGCTTCAAAAGACATTATCAAAAAGTGAAAAGATAACACACAGATATCTGCAGATCATCTCTACGAGAAGCCACTTGTATCCAGAATATATAAAGAATTGGTACAACTCAACAATAAAAGGACAAGTCAATTAAAAAGTAGGCCAAGGATCTGAAGAGCCATGTCTCCAAAGAAGGTATATAAATAGCCAAAAAGCACGTGAAAAAATGCACATCATTCATCAGTGGGGAAATGCAAATCAAAACCACAATGATATACCACTTCATACTAGGATGGCTAAAATGGCAGATAGTAGCAAATGTGGGCAAGGATGTGGAGAAATTGGAACACTCACCCATTGCTGGTAGGATTGTAAAATGGTGCAGCTGTTTGGAAACCAGTTTTGGAGCTCCTCAAAATGCTAAACATAGAGTAACCATATGACCCAGCAATTCCACTCGTAGGTTTATACACCAAAGAAATGAAAACATTTGCCCACCCACAAACTTGTAGCTGAATGTTCATAGCAGCGTTGTTCATAATGGAAGCAAGCCAAATGTCCATCAACTGATAAATGAATAAAGAAAATGTAGTACATCCATTCAATGGAATATTACTTGGCCACATAAAGGAAAGAAGTACGGATACATGGTGTAACAGGGATGAAACCTGAAAACATTATGCTGAGTAAAAGAAGCCACTCACAAAAGGCAACATAGCATATGAGTCCATTTATATGAAAGGCCCACAATAGGAAAATCTGCAGAGACAGAAAGTAAATTAGTGGTTGCAGGGGCTCAGGGGGGAGGGCAGTGAGCACTGACTAACAGGTAGGGGGTTTGCTTTTGGGGTAATGAGAATGTCCTAAATTTAGCTTGTGGTTATGGTGGTGTAATTTTGTGAAAATAGTAAAAACCACTGAAACCCACACTTTCAAAGGGTCAATTTTAGGATATTTTATGGTCTGGTGAGCTGTTATAAAAACAGCATTTGTCCCTTTGTTCCTAATGTATGGTAGGAATGGACAGGTGGGGGCTTCTGGTAAAGAAAGTGCAGAGGGCTCATTTACTGACAATCTCTTCCTTTCTAAAAACAGAACAAAGTGAGCTAAGTTTACTGAGGAAAGTAGCACGACACAGTCAGGCTTAGACACAAAAGAAAGAATTCTGTGATTGGGAAAAGGGAAAGATACCCAAAATGGTGAGTGAGGCTTAAGCCCTGGGTCAGCTGGGCTTCAGCTCAAGTAGGAAGAGGCAGGAGGAGTTTAGCTCCCGCAGAGCTGGGAGAAGAGAGTGGTGCACGGAAGCCTGGGTCCCAGAGCCAGCCTCTCTGCTGGCTGTTACCCTGATGGATGTCAATGGTCACGCTAGAGAGGAATAGAAGGGCAAAAGCAGATATAGGTAGGAGAAACAGAGTCACTCATGGTGTTACCCCCCTACCCCCATCCCCAGCAGATTATACAGAATCCTTAGTAATTTTTTTTTTTTCTTTTAACCAATCTCTCCTTTTCTTGAGGCATTCCAGCCTGACCAGGCAGGTCAGCGTGCCAAAAGGGACGGGGTGCTCCGAAGAGGTGGGTGGGGAGGCTGTGTGCCGAAGGGACGGGGTGTTGGGGGAGTGTGTTGTGCGGACGGACCTGGTAAGGGTCGCGAGAGAAAGTACTAGCTCAGTGAGGCACCTACAGGCAGTGGGACGGGAATAGCTGCTCCTTCTGGTGGGAGAGGTTGCCCTCCATGCTTCCTGGCGGTGGTGACGCCAAGAGCGAGTGAGCAGGGGCAGCTTGTGAGCCAAGGTGGGGGTGAGGTGGGTGGGGTGGGGGTGGGGTGACTCCTGAACCCCATGGTACCGGACAATCGCCCCATGCTAGGGGTACTTAATAAAAAAAAAAAAAGTTTCTGCTGATATTGCACAAAAATTTATAGACAGTCATTTTGGTGTCACCCTGTCTGACAGTGTCACCCGGTGCAGTCGGATCCCGGTCCTGTAGCACCCTAGTGAGGCCACAGACAAGCACTTAACCACTGCTCCACCAGGGTTTCTAGGGGACCTGCAAGGATATTTTAAAAAATCTGAAGGAACCGCCGTGACATCTGGTGGACAGAACAAGAAGTACTAGTTCAAGGTTTTTACTCTCTCAACTTCAGACTGAGTGTGTCACATTCCTTTTGATGATGTCATATTCTTCTGAACCTGGGTTTTCAGCAGTTGCTGTGATAAATAGCAAGAACGAAGCAAAAATATACGTGGAACAAGAAATGATGGTGTTCTGTCCAGTCTCATTCCAAGATTTGAGAAGTTGTGTAGTGCCCAACAGGTACACACATCCCAGTGGTAAGTAGGTGTGGTTATGTAAGAATGAAATACACGTATTATTCTTCTTTCACAACATCTTGACCTGCAAGGTGGAAGGGCCTTGTTTTGCTTTTTCAAATGTACATTGCTTGCTAGTACATTGCTTGCATGCAAAAGCTGTACGATGCATAAGGAAGACTGAAGAAGAATAGATGTCTTCAAATTACGATGTTGGAGAAAAGTGTTGAATATACCATGGACTGCCAGAAGAATGAACAATCTGTCTTGGAAGAAGTACAGCCAGAATGCTCCTTAGAAGTAAGGATGGGGAGACTTTGTCTCAAGTACTTTGGACATGTTATCAGGAGGGACACATCCCTGGAGAAGGACATCATGCTTGGTAGCGGGTCAGTGATAAAGAGGAGGACCCTCAACGAGATGGATTGATACAGTGGCTGCAACAATGGACTCAAGCATAACGATTGTGAGGATGGCGCAGGACTGGGCAGTGTTTTGTTCTGTTGTACACAGGGTCACTGTGAGTCGGAACCAACTTGACAGCACCTAACAACAACAGCAATACACTGCTAGGACACACACCCTTACTGTTTGACTGTAAATACTTAAACAGAATTTTTAGGCATTTCTTTTGGCTTGGGAATACTGTGAAAGTTACTGAGGCACTGAGGATGCCATAAACTTCGAAAGTCTGGGAACTTCTGGCCTAAGGACCATGTAAGGCTCCAGGTTTGTTCTCCAAGTCCTACCCTTGCTTCCGGATGGACGAGCTACCCTCAGTTATTTTACATGTAGGCAACTAAAGCCGTCCCATCCCCCATCTGCTCTTCTCACCTCTGCTGATGGATGCCCTGCCCTGAACCTTCCCAGACATAATTAGGGTCTTGAGATTCTCAGCATCAGCCCAAGCTCAGGTCCCATTTCTCCATGGCTTGGGTCTGTCCTGCCCACGCGTTGGTGTTATTACTTTCTCTCCCAGGGACTCAAGGGTATAACCTGCGTCTCTTACTTTCATAGTGAAGGACAGACTTTCATCCAGCCAGCCTTGGACCTCTCCCTAGGGTATCCAGGTCTGGGCTGCATCATGAGAGTGAAGTCACCCCATAGACAGTGAGCAAGAGTTCAGTGGAAGCAGGAGCTTAAAGCCAGAAGGGACCAGGACACCGTCAGTCAAGTGTTTCTTAGAAATCAGGCATGGGGAGGCTATGGGGCTTCCCATCAGACATGAGATAGAGAGCTCTGTTGTGGCTAGATTATTACCTTTAGATATCTAACACTAAAGAAAAGTATGGGAGCAGGGCATACATTATTAAAGAAAAATATATGTCATTAAAGCCAGTTTTTCCATCTCTGCTGAAATTAAATTAGCTCCTTTCTAGAATTTCTTCTGCTGAGAGTGAACCTATTCTTATCTGAGCACTGGCAATGAATCCAGGGCTGGAGTGCAGGCAATTTTATGTAAATCACCTAGGACAGGAAGATCTCAGTGATCTTCTGATTAAATGTGGAATGTTCTGGAGTGGAAGAAGCAAAGGCAATGCTCCCTGGTCCACCATCACTCTCTCCCCCTCACACCTCTGATGCTGTGCTCCTGCAGGTACACTGGGGAGCTTGTGAGGCTCACATTCCAGCTGGAGAATGACAAGACCAGGGCAAGGGTGGAGACAGCCAGCAGGGGAGGCGAGGAAAGAGGGAAGATAAGAAAACAGTATTAAAAGGGTATTTTCTTGTGTTTATGTCGAAGAAGCGAAAGTTCTAGTTCATTCCAAGGTCCAAGTGCATCCCTGGGGAGGGGACATCAAGCTGAGAGACTAGATCAAGTGAGAGAGAGAGAGAGAAATTCTTCTCTGAGAACTCAGTGACCGCAGTAAGATTAGTCACACACCCTTCCCCCTCCATCTCACTTCCTAACATCTCTTCCTCACTGTAGGAGCCCCTCCATTGACCTCCTGTGGGCTAGCATCCCTGGACTCCTCACTGGTCTACAAAATTGTGCCTCCACCCAGATCCCTGTTCCTGGAATTCCCTCTTCTCCCTGACCAACAGCCAGTCATCTTTCAAAGCTGGGCATATGTTCCAGCAATTCTTTATCATCTCTCTAGGCAGAATAAACTCTCTCCTCCGGGGTGTCCTCATCCCTGAGTCCACGGTTAGATTATTACTCTTCATGGTAGTCATTAGTGTATTTGTCCATCTCTCCTCACCCTAGAGTTGTGAGTCCTTTGAGGATGACTCCATCTCTAATCACCTACATAAACTAAGGTCCTAACACTGTGGAAGGCATATAGCAGGTGATCACTTAGATGGTAAATAGAATTGCCTTAGGGAGCAGGACCTGAAAGAGGGGTCACATGTTTAAGGGCTTCCTTTGAGCACCACTTTCTATGGCCCAAACCGCACCTTAGTCCATGGAGCAACCCCTTCTCCATCTGGCTTATCACTGTGATCACTCAGTCATCCCCACTGGGCAGGTCTCATTGCATCCACTTCACAGTCCTTCAGTGGGCACAGGTAGTATGGAGAGAAGTAAGTGGGAAGTGAGGGGCACAATGGCCTCTGGCTTCTGGGCAGGTCTTAGACTGATATGAGGATTGCCTCCTGCCTCCCTCTGTTGACCCCTTTCCAATACAGGTGAGAAAACTTGAATAAGGCCTCCTGCTCCACACTTGAGTGTGATCAGCTCTGAGTTACATGAGTCTTGGGTCAGGGGAAGGTGGGATGTCTGTACCAAGGCTCACTGCTACTTTTGCTTTAGGCCTGAGAAAGCCCAAGTTATTGCTCTCAAATGATGAGAGGTCATATTCACCACGTCTCATTTCCAGGATGAGAAGATTCAGTGGCTGGGGCAGTGGCGGGACTCTGGGATCCACCTCTTCCCAGTCTTCACCTTAGGCTAGCTGCCCTGTGCTGCCCTGTCATTTCTGTCCACAGTACCTGTCACTCTCTAAAGTACTCGAAGACACCAAGTAGCATTCAGCAGGTGAGGGTGACGGGGAGGATCCAGGGGCTCAGCGTGATGGCTGTGGCAGTGGGTTGGGCTGAGATGGGGCCATAGTGAGTAGGGCTGAGAAGGAACCCGAAGAGTAAAAGCCCTTGTCCAGACCCCAAACCTAAGGAGATGCCTTCCTCAGCTCTTGCCTCCCCAGGTAATCCAACAATGCACATACTTGCTAACCCTCTACTACGTGGCTCTCACAGGTCCTGAGGTTTAAAGAGGGAAATGAGATGGATCTGCCCTCAAGGAATACATAAACCTAGTGGGGGAAGCAAAAGTTTACAATACTACAAATCACTCTTGCTGTGACAGAGGAAGGAGTAATAAATGAGGATGGTAGGGAAGGCTCAAGGACCTGAAATGAGACATAGTTTTGAAATACACCAGCTGACTTGAATAACTAAAGTGACTCTAGGCAGAACACCCACAAAGAATAAAAGGTCTGGAAATACAATGATGCCCACATGTTTGGGGCCAGTGAGAAATCCACGGCAAATGGACCACAGGTGTGTGCAGGGACCAAGGGATGTTAGGAGGTGAGAAGGGGAATGGAGGATGGGGAGAAAAATCCCTATGGCCATTATTCTTAGAAGAACTCATTGCAGAATGGATCTCTCCGTCAGACCCACATGCACACACACATACACTTACCCCTGGTTGTGTAATTCTCCAGTTTAATGTCAGGCAGTAGCTGTTTGAGCATATCCCCTACATTTCTCAGAATTTGGGTCTGTTCCTCCCACTCCTGTATGGCATTTACCTACATCCCCAGGGGACCTACATTTTGACCATGTTTCTGCCACAGTCACAGTGAAGAAAAGTCCTTCCATGCACCTGGCCTTGATAGTCATGACATCGTTGTCCAGGTAGGGACTTAAAGATGGTGGTAAAGTTGTAGCAAAGAGAGTGAGCATCTCTGAGAGAAAATCTCAGGTGAGGGCTGGGGTGGGAAAAAGAGGGCCCATTAGACACCCTCTACCCACTCTCTGTGACACCAAGAGAATCCCTCTGCAGGGCTGGGCTGGCAGAGAAAGGAGGGCCCCTTCCTGCCCCTGCCCCTACACCACCTACACAACCAAAGGGAATTCTTGCTTACTCCTCTCTTCCCTCCAACTGACACAGGGTGAACTCTGATGCAACCCTGGACAGTTATGGTGTTAGTGATGGGAGGCTTGTGAACAGACGACAGTGCCTCTCCTCCAAGAGCTCACACTCCAGCTGAACAGAATGCACAGAGTCCCTCAAGTTTTTGAAGAGTGTCACTTTATAAGGAAAGTGACAACTACAAGTATCTTGAGGAAAGTCTTCATGCAGAAGACATGGGGTCTTGGCAGCAGGAACTTTTAGGCCAAGTGTCTGCTGGGGCTGATTCTAAGGTGGAAGGGAAAGGTGGAGCCCATTAAAGATGGGGAGGGTAAGGTAAGGTGGACAGCCAGCTGTGGAGGAGTCATATAGCAAAGTGATGAGACTCAGGATTAGAATTTTCCAGAAATGTATGCCCTGGAAAAACAAACATACATCCCCATGTGAGCACCGAAGAGTGTCACACACACCTGAGTCCAGGAGAGACTCACACCAAACACAAGCAGGAAACACTCGAGAACCTAGTTAACAGGTAGAGAACGGCACAAGAGGACCTCCTCTTCCCCCTTAACCAAGGCACACCCTCCCACTGAAGGTGAAGAACCCAAAAAGCCCAGATGAACTGGACTCAGGGAGAGAAGACATCATTCCTCCATAAAAGAACAAGGCAAAGACAATGTGTAAAGTTGTAAATATTAATGACATTGACCGTGTCCCTCAAGTTTCTGACAAAAGTGGAGAATTGGGTAAACAATGCACACAAGTTCATTAACAATGACCACAAAAATGAACTGAGCACATACTTTACGTGAGTACAGTGGACGGAGTATGGTGGGGTAAACACAGGACTTCCGGTCAGAAGCCCTGGGATCACATCCTGTGGGACACGAGGAAGGTGTCTGAATGTTATCTTGTTTTTAGCTGGGACCTGGGAAAACAGTAATACCTACCTCACATGTTTTTTATTTTGTTTTTAAGAGCCTTAACTGAGACACTGGTATGGAAACTTCCCTGACTAAGGAATATTGTTAAAAACAAAAACAACCTTGGACTTTACTTGTACATAATGTTCACAACGGAAGTCAGAATGAGGGGATGGCATTTGAGGTGGGTCTTGGACATGAGATGTCCGTATCTAGGTGGTCTGAGCAAGGAGGGGACTGAAGTAAATAGACATGGAAGGCTACCAGGCTTTGAGGGAACCCTATTGCCCAAGAAACCGTAGTATGGCCCGAACAGATTTTCTAGTGTATATTGTGGGCACCACAGAGGTTCTCTCATCAGGAACAAGTCTCCCATCTACAGTGGCTGGGAATGTGGCAGCTGACAGCCCTCAGCTGTGTCTCTCACTGGCAACTTCCCAGCCATCCCCTTGATTGGTTATAGATTAGACTGTTGTGGTCCATAGGGTTTTCACGGACTGATTTTTGGAAGTAGATCACTAGCACTTTCCTTCTAGTCAAGCTTAGTTTGGAAGCCCCACTGAAACCCATTCAGCGTCATAGCAATACACAAACCTCCACTGGCAGGCATGTGATGGCTACACATGAGGTGCATTGATCAGAAATTGAACCCAGGTCTCCTGCATGTGAGGGGCAAATTCTACCACTGAACCACTATGTCTTTTATAAACACAATATCAAACCAGAAACCAAACCCACTTCCTGTCGAGTCAATTCAAACTCCTAGCGACCTTAGAGGACAGAATAGAACCGCCTCGTAGGATTTCCAGGCTATAAACCTTTATAGAAGCAGACTGTCACACCTTTCTCCAGCTGGGCAGCTGGTGGGTTTGAACTGCTGACCTTTTGGTTAGCAGCCGAACACTTCAACCACTTTGCCACCAGGGCTTCTATAACCACAGTACAGCCTTCAAAATAGATTTCACGGGAATATATTCCTACCACCGAATCCTCAGAACCCATTCAAGTGGCACTAATGGTCCGGATAATGTCCTTTATAGCAAAAGGGTGGGATGGATTTAGGTATTTTCAGTCTCCTTTTTGTGCTGGATGTATGGTTTGCAGGTGTTCTCTTTGCCTTCTTTGTTAATTTGTATCAATTTAAAAGAAGTGGAGAGATTTAGATTTCAGTGAGCACTGAACCGGTGTGTGAAACAGAAGTCATTATTAACGTATTTGAAAGATTTAAAAAGTTTTCAACCAGCATGTGGGTGGTTTAATTTTTTTTTTTTTTTTTGGTCAGTGGTTCAGATTATTTAGTCAGCCAAGTAGACTGAAACAGAAATCTTTTGACATCATTTAAAAAATATACTGTCCTATTGATCAATGAGGAGCCCCGGTGACAGTGGATAAGTGCTTGGCTGCTAACAGAAAGGTAAGCGGTTCCTACCCGCCAGCCACTCTGCAGGAGAAAGACATGGCAGTCTCCTTCTGTAAAGATGTACAGCCTTGGAAACCTATGGGGCAGTTCTACTCTGTTCTGCAGGGTCGCTATGAGTCGGAATTGACTCGATAGCGGTTTGTTTTTTTGTTTTGCTTTTATTAATATTAACAAGGTTGCTAATTTTTTGGTATGACAAACAACATTACAATAAACAGTCAAATATCTACATGCTTTTTGGTAAATATTTACAAAATTGGAACAACACTGGATTGCTGTTAGGTGGGATCAGCGTATCTTCCCATTTTACTAAAAACCAAACACTGCTGTCAAGTCGATTCTGACTCATGGCTAGACACTGATAAATTCTATTTCAGAATGTTGATTCAGTTTACTCTTACAAACAGTGTAGGAGAATTCCTGTTATTACATTTCTATCCAGTACTTCGTGTTGATATATTTAAAACTATTTGCAAATATGGTAGTTGTGTAAGGGTATCTCCTTGTTCTGTTAATGTGTATTCTCTTCATAACTTGTGAGATTTTGAGTCTTTTCATAGGCTTATTGGCTGTCCATGAGATGCCCATAGCCTTTGCCTGGTACCTTTGCAGAATTAGACTTCTTCTATGTCATTTGTAGGAATTCTTTATATATTCTGGATACTGATCCTTTGTCAGTGTGGGGAATAAAACAGCTTTTAAAAATAAAGATTTTTCTGCTGTGAAGATGTACTTCTCACTGAGGAAGCCGAGGTCAGAGTGTAGAACTGACAAGAAAAGTCACTGCTGGGGATTGAGGGTGGGCTGTGCTGCGGCAAAACCAGAAAAATCCTCCTTCATTATGGCCCAGAATGTATGCTTACATCCAGGGTACCAAGACAATATTCGACACTGACAGCCACATGCCTTGATTTTTTCTTTAGGTGAGATCTTTACATTGTCTGTCTTAATTAGAAATCTAGCAGAACCGCTGGGTTTTTTTCCCTCTGTAGTGTGGAGGAAGAAGGAATTGCCAATAATTCTCTACTGGGTTAGAAGATAAAATTTGAGAGTCATTAAGTTTTTGAGAAAGTAGAGATGTTTATTTAAATATTATTACAGGGTAATCAATAAAGAAACCAACGACAGAAACAATTTTGATCTTTTAAGAGAAGGCGAGTGTCTTCCTGTACATAGAAGCAATCTCTTAAGTTCTGAGGTGCACACAATGTTTTATTATTGGCGGTATCATTCCGAGGACATGAACATGATTCAGAGACCTGAGGTTCCAGAACCAAAGAGAAGATGGCAAATGTTCTCTTGGTTGAGATTTCTTATTCACACAGTGTCATGGATTGAATTGTGTCCCCCCAAAATATCTGTCAACTTGACTAGGTCATGATTCCCAGTACTGTATGATTGTCTACCATTTTGTCATCTGATGAGATTTCCCTATGTGTTGTAAATCCTATCACTATGACGTAATGAGATGGGTTAGTGGCAGTTATATTGATGAGAGCTACAAGATTAGATAGTGTCTTAAGCCAATCTCTTTTGAGATATAAAAGAGAAGCAAGCAGAGAGACATGGGCACCTCATACCACCAAGAAAGCAGTGCTGGGAGCAAAGCATGTCCTATGGACCTGGGGTTCCTGTGCTGAGATGTTCCCAGACCAAGCAAAGGCTGATGATAAGCACCTTCCTCCAGAGCTAACAGGGACAGAAAGCCTTCCCCTGGAGCTAGCACCCTGAATTCAGCCTTGTAGCCTACTGGACTGGGAGAGAATAAACTTCTGTTTGTGGTCTTTCTGTTATAGCAGCACTAGATGACCAAGACATACAGTTAGAAGGTCCAGTGCAGAAATTCTTTCAGTAGCACCTAGAGAAAAAGGCACAGTATCAGGAAAAGGGCACAGTAGGATAGTCACCCATGGAATGTTGCTTCTTTGGGATCATCAGGACCTGCTGGAGGCTCTGGATCTGCTCTAAGGTTTGACCCTTCTGGTGGTTGAGAGGAGGCCTGGTGGTGCAGTGGTTAACTGCTCAGCTGCTAACCGAAAGGTCAGTGGTTTGAACCTACCAGCCACTCCACGGGAGAAAGATGTGGCAGTCTGCTTCCATAAATATTTACAGCCTTGGAGACCCTTTGGGGCAGTTTTACTCTGTTCTGTGTAGGGTTGTTATGAGTCTGAATCGACTGGCTAGTGGGTTTGGTTGTTGAGAGACAAAGAGCTGGTGGTGGAGATACTTCCAGATTTCTTGGTAGCATCTTCAGCCTTCAAAAGGAAACGTGTTTCTCCATGACCAAATCTTGGTTCAGTTCTACTTGGCTACCCTTCCCCAATGACTCCCCATTCAGAGCCTACCCCTACTAAGGCCCATGTACTTCCCTGTGTTCCCCTTTCATCCTGTGTCCTCGCTCCTTTGCCACATCAACAGTGTCAGCCGAGGCTCTGTGACAGAAAGCTGAGACCAGGAGTAGAGCAAAGAGTGAATCCATGTGCTTCCTTTACTTGGGACCTGCTCCTCCCTTCTATGGCAGGGCCTACAGGACCAGAAGAAGCCCTGTCCAGAGGGAGGGGCCTGGATCCTAGTTCCTATATCCTGGGCAGGGTTTCAGGCAAGCATCCTTCTTTCCCCTCCTCTCTCAGCCTCTCCTCACCCTGAAAGCAGCACACATCTCTGAGTGACTGTCCCTGCCCCCATGTCATTGAACCTGGTCTAGATTGGTCC